ATTATATATATATATATATGTGTGTGTGTATTTTGTTATTTATATATATTATATATATATATATATATACCCCTTTCTCATCGCACGATCATACAAGCGGTGTGCCTATACCTATTAGAGTGGTAGAGCGTCTAACAACACACTGAGGTTGTATACTCGAACGAGTATCGAACAGCACAGATGACAATTGCGGTTTGTTGTCTAGGCACAGCAGAGTGTCTAATAGTTTGGGTTTAGGGTGTGCCTACAAAAAGAGCAGTACAACAATTCACGTACACACATAGCAGCACAATGATATACCTACACAAATAACACCACCACCTCTTTTTGGGTTTTAGGGTGCAGGGTTTGGAGTTTTCCTTTGGGACTGCCACAAAGCGTTCTTATTTGCTGGCCATACATACATACACCTGGAAGGAGCATCCGGCCTTATACGTATGTTCATAGTCTGCCATTTTACATTCAGGGCAGGACCGGTCCTAAAACCTGGGGGCACAAGGTGCGCGAGTTTCTGGACGAACACGCGGCTTTGCCATTGGCTGAGAGGAAGAAGATGGTTGTTTGGGAGGATTGCGATTGTTTTTCGGATAAAAGTGAGCAGGAAAAATGGGATTTGTCCCAATTTTTGGTCCCAGCAGCTTCGTGCGCCACTCTCCAGGTGTGGGGTTTGGAAAGGGGTTGTCACAGATTGCACCTTTTTGTGGGTATTTTGGGCTTCATCAAGGAACGGTTTGTGTCTCAATCCCTACAAAATGGTCTGAAAGTGTATGATTACGTGTTTATTCATATACACCTGTACCTATACTTTTACCTGTATTTACGTATATATGTCTATACATACATAAATATACACCTATACCTACATGCACCGTGATAAATGCACCTTTCCTAAATATATACCTTTATATACCTTTATATATATCTATATCTATATCTATATATACCCTACACTCACCGTATCAACGAGCGACTGCAGTCACGTGTACCGCATGTACGCGTTCAATACAGCTGCTATGCAATTGACGTAAACAAAGACAGCCCTGTCGATCGAACTCTCTTTGTGTACGTTTATTATCCTGTACTTCGTTGCTCAACGTGGCTGGAGGTTACCATTCGGTGCAGTACCAATATAAACTTAAATATACGTATAGCATTCCATCTCCCTTTCCCAGCTACCTTTGCATTAACCTCAATATACGTATACCATTCCATCTCCCTTTCCCAGCTACCCTTGCATAAACGTTATTGTACGTATTCATTCCATATCCCCTTGACCAGCTACCCTTGCATAAACGTAAATATACGTATATCATTCCATCTCCCTTTCCCAGCTGCCCTTGCATGAACGTAAATACACGTATATCATTCCATCTTCCTTTCTCAGCTATCCTTGCATAAACGTTACTATACGTATATCATTCCTTATCACCTTTTCCAGCTACCCTTGTCATGGAATTCGGAGAAGTCGCACAAGCGCACCATCGAAATGTTTGTGAAGAAAGTCCACGCCAGTACTCTAAAGTCTCAGGGACAGTTGTGGCTGATCGGTGGAGGACCAGGACACAGCGGCGCTGCCATGGAGAACCTCTTGCCACAGGTACGTATATATATATGTATATATACATATGTATATGTACATGTACATATATATATATTTGAATGTATATGTACATGTCTATTTTATGTATATGAATAAGTCTGTGTCTGTGTCTGTGCGTGTGTATGCTATTTATATGTTACTTGCATGCTAATGATGGCAGCCCGCCCCACCACCATAAACATGCAGACTGTCAGTTAAACCTTAAACCCTAAAAACCCTAAAACCCTAGTCTACTTAAGTTATTAACACAAGCTCGTTTGTTCCCGAGCATACGTCGGTTGTTACAGGCATGGCTAGCATCAGCGAATATATAGTTTACACCGTCATATAATCTTTTAAAAGTGATGTATATTTAAACTCTCCTACGGGTATATAGTTTACACCATGTATGTATCTGTCTATCTAGCCATCATCTATCTATCTATCTATGCGTATATGTATATTTATATATATATATATATATGTGTGTGTGTGTGTGTGTGTGTGTATGTATGTGTGTATGTACGTATGTATGTTATATATGTTATATATGTGTATGTATTATTTATTTATATATGTATATATGTTATATGTGTTTATATATATGTATATATATATATATATATGTATTGTATATATATATATGTAGTGTAGTATATTATATATATATATATATATATATATATATATATATATATATATATATATATGTATATATATATATATTCGCATTTCTGAATGATTTGTCGTACAACTCATTGCAGGTGGTCTTGGCCATGCCTGGGTACGACATTATGATCCCAGATCACAGAGGGACAGGGCGCTCGACACCCGTCACGTGTCCTGAGACTATGGAGTATGTGGTAGATTGAGTGTGTTATATTCATTGTATGATCAGGTTTTCAGGGATATTGTATAGTTGAGTGTGTTATGTTACTAAACTGTTTGATGGAGTGTGTATGATTAGGGTATTAAGGTTGTTGTATGATGGAGTGTGCTGAGTGTTTGGTTGAGCAGATGACGTTCGTGGTATGATTGAGTGTGCGAAGATGCTTCTCCTGATAGTATGGGGTAATTGCCTAGCCGAATACGTCTCGATTGCTACACTCTATACTTAAACCATAACGTCGTACAGTCACCGATTCTGTTTCGTCGTATATTCACTGTTTCTGCTTGTCGTATATTTACTGTTTCTGTTTGTCGTATATCTACTGTTTCTGTTTGTCGTATATTTACTGTTTCTGTTTGTCGTATATTTACTGTTTCTGTTGGTCGTACATTTACTGTTTCTATTTGTCATATATTTACTATTTCTGTTTGTCGTACAGTTACTGATTACATTTTTAACTCCAACAGACACATGGACAGTCCCATTATGGACTTCCAGAAGGAGAAGGATGTGCAGTGTTACAACGAAATCACTAAAACGTAAGCCAGCGCGAATACGTAAATACTTCACTGTTTGCCTGCATGTGTTCTATGTACGTGTATGGAACTGCGAATATGACCCATGGTTGTTTCATCTATGTACTTGAACGGTTGCATTCATAATTATATATAGATATATAATTATATAGATATATATATAATATAATATTATATTATATATGTATATGTATTTGTATATGTATTTATTTATATATATATATATATATATATATATATATATATATGCAACATGTTGGTACTAGATAGTACTTTCCTGGCACTAAAATGCTATTATTTGTAGGTTCTTATTCGACTCTGCTACCATATGGCGAGACTCTATATCACTACAATACTCAATTGTCCTATTTTAACCCTAGGAGCTAAACATAGGCCCTATTGCGATACCTAATTCACAATATAAATTGGTATTTAAACACACAATACTATATATATGTATATGTGTATATGTGTGTATTTATGTGTATATATATATGTATATGTATATATATGTGTGTGTGTGTATATATATATATATATATATATATTATAAGTACTACATTGTCATTAAATATATAAGTTATGAAATATATATATATATATGCATATGTATATATATATATATATATGAGTACTACATTGACATTAAATATTAAGTTATGTTACCGTTTTAACACCAGTGAACACCAATCACTATTCATATAAGCTCTACATTGACATCAATGACTCATCTTGTTATACCGTTTTAACCGTTTAACACCAGGTTCGAGGCAGGGTACCTTCACAACTTCAACACAGCGTTTGCTGCGTTTGATCTGGTGGCCGCTATTAACTTCACCAGCCCAGACTATGTATGCGTGTGCTGTGTTGTGTGGTGTTACGTTATGTCAAATTTGATATATATATTATATTATATATATATATATATATATATATATGTATGTATGTATGTATACACATGTATATGTATATATATATCGCAATGAGTTGTATGTCCATATACATTAGACTGTGTATGCGCGTGCTGTGCTGTGTGTTGTTATATATTTACATATGTGATAACGTACTTGGGCATTGGTTATGTGTGTCGTTTGGTTGTTTGTTGTATTTTATTATACGTGTACAATATCCAGCAAACCTCAATAACGTATTTGCACTTGTGCCTTATAGTCAACTGCGTATGATCTATTGGACTCCCTGTCTATAGGGGTTTCGGGTTCCAGGGTTTTCCTAAACCTGATTTCTTTTCCTAGTCACACCCGCACCCCACCCGCCCTACACCACAGGCCACCGATTCATCGCCGTTGCCTAGCAACGCAGACAGAGCATCCGCCCCACCGCCGTTGCCTAGCAACGAAGTGCTCATGTATGGGCTCTCGTACGGTACATACTGGGTCCAACGGTACTTGTTTGTCACTCCCTGGAAACAGGTACGGTCGGTGACCTTGGACGGGATAGCTCCGCCGGATGTCTACACTATAGCCGATAAGGTCGACACCAGCGTCAACCTAGTGGGGTAGGGAGATGTGTGTGTATGTGTACGTATGATATGAGTACTTATATAGGTATGTATGTATGTAAGATGTATGTTTGAATTATAAGTTTACTTAAGTATATGGAAATATTTATATACAAGCGATAAGTATATACAGGTATAAGATGTATGTATGTTTGTATGATTTGCGTACCTGCGTCCTCTACATAGTGGATTCTATGTATGCCTGTTTTAGGTATGTGTATGTGCTTTTCGTGTATGTATAATAACATCCGAGTTTATAAACCCTTAAATTAATACCTTCTATCGTATAAGATAAATGTGTGCTGTATCTGTGGGTTTTAACTAGATTTTAACTGGGTTTTGAATCCCCTATGACTGTGCGTGTTGTGACTGTGGGCCATTAAGCTCCATTGGGTACCTGCAATTGAGCCAACAAAACAATACCCACAACCTAAAGGGAAACACTTGGTCGTTGTATGTGATATATACTTATATATATATATATGTATATATATGTATATATATATATATATATGTATATATATATATATATATATGTATATATATATATATATATGTATATATATATATATATATGTATATATATATATATATATGTATATATATATATATATATGTATATATATAAATATATAAGTGAATATATTTATATATATATATACAAAAGTATTGTATTTATATATATATATATTTACGTATATATATATATGTATATAATATATGTATATGTATATGTATTTATATATATATATATATACGTATATATATATATATATATATATATACGTATATATATATATATACATATACATATACATATACATATACATACTTATATATCAATTCTTCATTTTCTCATCCCCACACAGATCGGCTTTTCTCAACACCTGTAGCCAGCATCCACGGTGTCTGGCAGCTCTGGGGCCCTTACCAGCTGAACAGGCTGCCTTTTTAAAGGACTTGGTTGTTAGTAAACGCAGCGAATGTGCGCGTGTGTTTGGGCTCAGCGCAGAAGGCCTCCGCGTTATGTTGGGCAAACTGGTGACGGATGAGTATTATAGGATTGTGGTACCACCACTGGTGCAGAAGCTCATGCGATGCAGCGATAGGGTATGTGGATGTATATATTGATATGTATGTATATATTGTTATATATATATATATATTTGTATATATACATATATAGCTGAGGCATAAGTTGTAGTGCATATACATGCTGATGTTTCTCTTCCCATCACTGCTAATTCAGGATCAAGTAGAGCTGAAGCGAGCGTTCGCGTGGTTTGACCGTTCAGTGGGTCGTCTGGCGTTTTGGGGAGTTGGTGCTGGTCCGGTTGATGAACGGTAGGTAGTGGTATAACATTGGTATTTATTATGCGTAGTTATGATTGTATTTTAAAATATGTAGTTATGTTTATATTTTCAATATACGTAATGTTTGTATACAATATATATAGTTATGTTTGTATTCTCATATACATAGTTCTGTTTATGTCCAATATACGTTGTTGTGTTTATACTCAATATACGTACAAAATTTATATTCTCATATATGTATATAGTTATGTCCATATTCTCATATACGTAGTTTTGTTTATATTCAATATACGTTGTTTTGTTTAAATCCAATATACGGTTTGTTTATATTCAATATACGTAGTTGTGTTCATATTCAATATACGTAGTTGTGTTTATATTCAATATTCATAGTTCTGTTTATATTCAATATACGTAGTTGTGTTCATAATCAATAAACGTAGTTATGTTATTATCGATATTCGTAGTCCTGTCCTGTTTATATTCAATATGCGTAGTTATGTTTACATTCAAATATTAGCAATCCACGTATCGGTGCAAGAGATGTGTATTACTTTATATTTGCTAATCGTACTGTTTTTTATTCAATTGTTTATGATTTATTTATTCAGTTGTCTACCATCAATTCATCTGTAAAGGCAAGGAGTATTCCGTTCTATATTCGATCTATATACAGGTTTTTTATCAATTATTCACAAGTATTTCATCTGTATAAGAAATATGTACTGTTTTATATGCAATACATGCACTGTTTTTTATTCAATCGTGTATGTTTTTATTCAATGGTGTATGTTTTTTATTCAATGGTGTATATATTTTATTCAATAGTGAATGTACTTTATTCAGTTATCAACAAATATTCTATCTGTACAGGTGCCCTTGTCTCAGTGGTGGGTTTGAGTACATTTGGTGCGTGGGTATGATTGACCCGAAAATAAGAAGTTATATAACTAATGAGTCATACTATTATGTGAAAGTATGGCATTAAAGCTCACGTGTGTCAGAGGCTATCTCGCATACACAACGGACCACAGGTGCACACTTACATCTCCATGTATATGCATACGTATATTATATGTATACGTATATGTATGTATATATATATATATATATATATGTATATATATATACTTATATCTACATGTATGTGCATGTATATGCATATTTATATTATATGTACATATACATATATATATATGTAAATATATATATATATGTATATATATATCTATATATATATATATACTTACATCTACATGTATTTGCATGTATATGCATATTTATATTATATGTACATATATATATATATATATATATATATTTCATGCACATATATATACATACACATATATATATATATATATATATAGTAGTAGTACTTGTAATTTGACTTATACTTAAACTTTTACTTTTATTTTGTACATATATATATGTACATATACACATCGATATACATGCACATTTGTATATATATATATATAAATATATGTATATATATATATATATTCATATACATGGATGATATTCCTTCTATATCACTACTAACCTTATCCATTTAAACAGCGTGACGACTGCGAATTCAACGCTGAACTACAATCCAATCACGCACACTAACTTGGTTGTGTCGGAGATGTATGCTCTCGAGCACCCAGGTTGGTAAATTTATGAAGTCACATTCGTATGTATCACATTTATATATAGATAGGCTTATATATCCGTATACCTACGTAGTTATATAGGCAGGCTTATATATTCATAAACATACGTAATTATATAGATAGGCTTATGTATTCATACACATACGTAGTTATATTGACAGACTTATATATTCATACACATACGTAGTTATATAGATAGGCATATATATTCGTGTACCTACGTAATTATATAGACAGGGGAATATAATCATAAACATACGTAGTTATATAGACAGGCTTATATATAGGCAGGCTTATATATTCATACACATCTGTAATTGTATAGGTAGGTGTATATATTCATACATGTTCATAATTATATATGTATGCTGTTAAATTCAAGCACACATGTATATATATATGTAAGCTTCTGATCTCATGCTCATTCATAATTGCATATGCATCCTTCTATATTCACATACACACGTAGTTATATATGTATATCTGTGTATCTGAGTGTATGTGTATATATTTATACGTATGTATGTACGTGAGTGTATGTATATTTATACATATATATATATGTATGTATATTATATATAAGTATATATGTTTATACATACAGATATATATATATATATATAATACATATAGGCATACACGTATTGTCCTATATTTATAAATAGTTTCCTTGTAACAGTATATATATATAGAGTACTTTCTATGTAAATACCACACACATTTAGTACGATAAATATAAACCCTAAATCTATACATGTATACCTACATCGTAACCTAAAGACACTTCCAACCACTTCCTTATCTCATACATATCAGCCCCAGACGCTGAAGTCATCGCTGCAATGTCTGACAATCTGCTGTTCAGCTTAGACTACAGCGCAGGCTACAGTAACTCGTATGAGTCATGGATCCGGTACAACCGCAAACGGTCTCCCGGATATGGACGGTATCCTGCAACAAAGGTTTGTGGTTGTATATGTGTGTGTATGTATGTATGTATGTATACACACACACACACATATATATATATATATATACATATATATATATATATATATATATCGAATCAAAACTTAAGTTAATTCCAAATTAACATTCGCATAAGTTTTGCCCGACCATGCTGTTGCTGAGTGAAACGTCATATATATTCACGATACACTCGGGACTAATTCACACTTAACACTAAACTACTTCCAAATTGATGTCCGCAGGGGATACGGCCGACTATGCTGTTGCTGAGTGGTACGCTGGATGCCTTCACTGGCAATACCTGGGCCAGATACGCTGCCACACACTACAAACACAACACCTCCACCACAGCATTTGTGAGTGTGGCGAATGTTGCCAGCGGCGTCGTGCCACACTCCCAGACGACGGGTATGTGTTGTATTCTATTGCACACGAATGGGCTTTGTATGTTCGTGTTCCCGTGTATATACAGGCGTGTGTTTTGTTCGAGTTTCCATGTATATACTGGCGTGTGTTTGTGTGTATGTTTACTTCGAGATATAGTTAAGAGCACAGTATCCGTATGTATAATACATATGGTGTGCGTGGTCAGGTACGCAGCCGTGCACTATGAATACAATCTCCGTCCTCCCACTACAGCGTTTGCATGTGTGCATGTGGTGCATATTCGGCATTTTCCCATAGGGGTCACTAGTTCATAATACATACATACATACATACATACCCATACACATATACAAATACATGTTATATATATATATATATATATATATATATATCAGTCGAGCTGAACATACACACATACAAATTAGTCTAATAACTACTGTACTGGTATCCTTTACTACCAATAGGTTATAGTCCTAGTCCTAACTCCAGGGTAGTCATTTAATGAGTGTTTCTCTCACATCAGTCAGCCTACAGCTCACTGGACTGTCTGTTGATGTCTACACCCATCTATTTATATACCATCGACTCCTATATGCTCTCCCGATAAATCTATTGTTAGATTTGAGATTGTCTATTAATATCTCCACTAATCTGTTTCTATCCGTCTCTGAATATTCTACACAGGAGATCATGGGCTTACCTGTGGAATGGAGATGATGGCCTCATTTTTTACACAGGGTTCACCGGATCTCAGGTATCTTTTATATATATATATATATATGTATGTCTGTATGTATATACATATATATATAAATGTGTGTGTGTGTGTGTGAAGTGTGCGTAGACAATTGCACGTTCTTTGTCTATGCCAATTATTATTTGATATTCAGATGAAGGAATCACTCAGCATGGTGATCCCATCAGATATAGTGAATTGGCTTTGGGATTTGAAATAGACTGGCTTTGGGATTTGATATAGAAAATTGGCTAGTATTTAAGTAGAAAACTGGCTTTGATTGTTAATAGTAAGTGAGCATGTTCGGGTTCACAGTTTGCAATTCAGGCGACAGATTGTATAGCTCAAATCTATCTTTTGAGCGGGTCTATACACAACCATGCAAGTGTACCTGTAAGTGCACTCAATTGTTGAAGGCATTAGTAGAAACTCGTATTTATATTTATTCTATATTTAAATATTTAAATATATATATATATATATATATACAGTGTGTGTGTGTGTGTGTGTGTGTGTGTATTATTGTGTGTTAGTGTGTATATATGAATATGTATATATGTACCTGTATGTATGTGTGTGTGTGTGTGTGTATTGTATATTGTTGACTCATGTGCAAGTTCTCAAGACGCAAGCACTCACACTGCATTTGTGTGTTTTAACAGGTGTCTGAGAGAGCTTCAGCCCGTTGATTTCGGTTGCACCACGTTGGCTAGCCGTCGTATAAGCGAAGAGATGTTCGGTACAGTCGACTGGTGGGATCCTGAGGCCCACAATGAGTTATAAAATCACACGTGACGGAATAACCATTATCAACCACGTGCCGCCGAATAAGGGATGCTGTAGAGGCGCATATCACAGCGTATGGTACGCTTGAAACCAATCACACACCGTCGAATACGCACTGGGGAGTCTGGCGCAAGCGGATAGACTATAATCTCAAGAGACCACAATGGATTATAATCTCACGTGACGGATTAAGGAATGGCGACCACGTGCCGCCAAATAAGCTAACTGGAGTTTGGCTCAGTTCATGGGTATTTGAGGTCTGAAGTAGCACAGTGAATGCTACTCACACCCGGCGAACTACCTACTTCTATCACAGGCTGTCGGACAATCGAAGCGGTCTCTTGGGCTTTAGTCAGACAGGATATATATATATATATATATATTTATATTTATATTTATATATATTATTTTCTCGAGTAGAGGGTCATAGTAGTGTTTAACCTGTGGCGATTGGGGCGGTCTGGGAACTGGGGCCGCACACGGGGAGTCGGCCACACTCAACAGCGTAGTGAGGGTTTCTAAGGTTTTGGGTTTTATATCCCTATTTCCGGGTGGGCCGATGGGCTCGATTGACTGGTGGGATCTCTTGAAGCGCATTGCGGCATAGGCACACGCTGTGAGATTAGTTATAGACGCTGTGGAATTGGTTATAAGCGCTGTGAGACTAGTTATAGACGCTGTGGAATTAGTTATAGACGCTGTGGAATTGGTTATAAGCGCTGTGAGACTAGTTATAGACGCTGTGGAATTAGTTATAGACGCTGTGGAATTGGTTATAAGCGCTGTGAGACTAGTTATAGACGCTGTGGAATTAGTTATAGGCGCTGTGAGATTAGTTATAGACGCTGTGGAATTGGTTATAAGCGCTGTGAGACTAGTTATAGACGCTGTGGAATTAGTTATAGGCGCTGTGAGATTAGTTATAGACGCTGTGGAATTCGTTATAGGATTAATTGTACGCACCTCTCGCCGATGTGAATAGGCTTTGGACCTTGTCGACGGGTGTCACCAAGCTCTAGGCCTCCGTCGTTTAATAAGCGTATTAGTTAAATAAGCACACTAGTTAAATAAGCGTATTAGTTAAATAAGCGTACTGGTTACAAGAACAACTTTGTCGAACTGGAGAGCTACGTTGGATGTGCATACTGACTGACGGCTGCAGACAGAATGAGTCATACTAGCACGTGCTGCCGAGTTAGCGCACCGGGTCCTGAGCGCCTGTTGCCACATGAACGTAGTGGATTCTAGACACCTGTTGTCAATCAAGTGGATGAGTACCTGCCACACTCGACTGGGGGGGGGACTCTATGGGTCATCTATGCAACGGGATGACATTCTGTGACATAACAATAGTACACTATCTTCGCAAATAGATAAGTATGCGGATAGGGGGTGTCTCGACAGCCGCAGGGAGTTCTAATCGCTGAACGTGAAATGTTTGTGTAGACGGTGTGCCCGACCGTCGACACACCAATCACACCTTCTGGCCTGATACTATACATGTACATGTACATCTATATGATACATCTACATGATACTATACATCTACATCTACATCCACATCTACATGTCCATGGCACCTCTGAACGAGTATGAATTTCACATGCACTAACAAGCATAACTAGAACACGGGCGGTCTGGTCACGCCTAGAACAAGTGTGTGTAGCACCTACCAACCACTCGTTGGCACAAGCAAGGTAGTTGGCCATGTGTGGGGGGTCCTTCATCTACACGGAAGCGGTTCGGATTCGCATCAGATGGCATCCATCTGCATAATCCGGACGTTTATTGGTCTCAATGAGCAAAGGCGTTAGGTGACATAAGAGGGCGCGTAGTTACCAGGGAGTGAGTTGGGTTTCGTATATACTTCTCTGGCGAGGCGTATGACTGGATTGTATCGGCAACCCAGCATGTCGATTGCAACCAAACATGCGTGTGCGAACGATAAGTTTGTGGTTTCGCAGATACACATCCTTAGAGCTGGGATGGATGCGCATGCGCATACGTTTTCATAATCGGTGCGCATTCCGAAAGCACAAAGGTGCTTCCGCGGTAGATGTGTGCACACAAAGAGTCTGAAGGTTCGATAAGGGTCCAGATTTCGATTAGTGTTTGTTATAATTTGTAAATAATACGAATTGAAGCCAAATGCGGATATGAACATACAGTTATATACATATTGGTTCTCATTATCCTGGTCGAGATCATATAGGACATGCAAGATTACACCGTTAATACATCACTGTGCCTCGATCAAACCGTGACGAAAATGGTCTCGCGGTTGGATACAGCTCACCTTCAGACATCAAGTGGACCGTAACAACACAGCTTTAATCCACGAGATGAAACTGCTTTATTATATAAGAAGCTTACGGCAGGTTGCTGATGACGGTTACACACTCTAGGTACATGATTTCTGGTTCAATCGACAATTGTTTTTAGTACGGTGAATAGCTATCAAGTAATTAATCGACTTTGTGCCCTGTACAGTGCACTCTGAACACCTCAGTGTATTCATGATGATTAAAACATATAGCATCGTAAAACAACCGTGCCAAGTTACGATGGTACTTTTTATGAAACTGTTATGCTTTGAGACCCTAAAATGTAGGATATTGGTAATCTTATCACGATATTTGCGGATCTTTACATGACCAAAGCACCACTTCGTTGAACTGATGTGTAATAATGGTTAAACTATATCGTCGATTAAAGAAACGGCGATCTAGTACTCCGAACACCGTTTACATACATGTTAGACAATGGTTTATCAAAGCCTAGTCAGAATAGACGGGAATGTCATCAGAATGAAGTCGAGGAGAGGCAGATTGATTCGATATTTAAACTCTTTTATTTTAAAATGTATACTTATATAATATATTAACACACTTAACTCTATATTTAGCCGCCAACTATATTTGCTGGACGGGTCTTGACATTATTGTATATATATATCAGATATTTACAGTCTATATTGCCACCTAAAGTTGTAGTCTTAAAGTACAACAACCATGGTACTAGTGATAGGCGAGACCGAGGACAGATCAGACTGAGTAGCCTTCAACTTCGGTTGTTTGAATGCACACACTCCGGAGCACACATTATATGATGTGACCTGGTGGAAGTTGTTCACGTAGTAACCATCGCGGTTCTTGATCTCCCTGAAGGGTCTTTGCAACTGAGCCACCTCGCACGGGCATCGGTTGGCAACAAGCATATCAGTACGCTTGAACGTTTGAAGCTCGTTCGCTGCAAAGCTCAGTGCTGCATAGCTGGTGACAGTCTCATCTCCAGGTCTTCGGTTGTACATTGCACGTGGGAAGGTGTCTGCTACCTCTACCCGTCGGTTGAATGTGACTGCCCTGCGACCGGTGACAGAAGGACGCGCCTGTATTGGAGTGACCTCCTTTGGTTTCTCAGTAGTCGCTTTCGGTACTTTCAAGTTCGCCCTAGGTGATTTTGCAGGTTCATTTCGTCTCGAGTCCTTCTCGCTGATAGTTGGTGATTTGGGTGCTTTCTTGGGAGGTGTTGGTGACTTAGGTACTTTCTTGGCAGTTGTTGGTGTCTTGGGTGCCTTCTTGGCAGTTGTTGGTGTCTTGGGTGCTTTCTTGGCAGGTGTAGGTGATTTAGATGCTTTCTTATCAGGTGTTGGCGATTTCTTACCTAGGCTAAACATAGTTTTGGCTGTGGGTTCACGCGACCAATGCCCGTTTATGTGGTTGTAATCTGGATAGAATGATGAAATGTACAAAACAGTGGCTATTATTTATCTCAATTCTCGCCTGAAAGTGTGAATCGAGCTATCCTCGTCTTCCCCGATGGTATAAAATCGCGGTGACGCAGACCACAAATAGAAAAGGCTGAAAAGCAAATCAATCACTATGCTGTGAGAGTCTGTGATTCTGTGACTCTGTGACCTGTGCCTCTGACTCTCTGTCACCGTCACCACAATAAACAGATATAATACTCTTGCTTGTCAGATGCAGTCAGGGACTCAGGGTGCTAAAAAAACATAGGCCCGGCCAGCAGAATTTCAAAAACTGGAAATGACTGGAACTTAAAACCGGTTCACGGCTTTTTGTTTTACCGTTTTTGGCATTTTGCTGTGCGTGTGAAGCGATAATTTGACGCAAGTTGTTGTGGGAAGAATGAATCACCGAATCATTGTTCACTGTTTCGAGAGCACAAGCCAGGGTGACATTTTATTGGAATAGTTGAATGTTGGGAATGTCGTATTGTCACCTGATCGGTGCTCTTCAATAGTCCTCATTTTATACCTATAGTCAATACTGAATACTGATTAGTGTCATATTTCTTTTGAAAACAATCTATTTATTAGTAAAATACAAAAATACAGAGTAAAAATAGTAAAACGTACATACATACTATTTTTTTATTAAAAAAGGATGTGACCAACTTTTTTTTTAATTTATAAATATAGTCTCTATGTAAATATAAGCCTATAAGGTCTATCATCTTTATATATGTAATTATGTACATCCCTAACTCCCTCTCTCTAATGACTGTCACTATGGGCTACATATGACCTACGAGGCTATAAGTCTATTCTATGACTCTATGTGAGTCTGTGACGCGTCAGTCGTCCCTCGACGAGAGGAGTCGAGGTCCGAGGCTATGATTATGAGATTTCTTATTGTATTTTGAATTAATTTTGTATGGCCCTAGTACAGACTCAGAGTTCCAGACTCACTCAGAGAGTAGCGGAGAGTTATAAAAAAAAAGATAATAAACGGACAAGTCTCAAAGCCTCAGGCCCTCTGGCCGCAGCGGCGCAGCGGAGCCTCGCAGCTTCACAGGCCGTCGGGTTTCTTTTTGTTTTTTGTATACTACATATTTGTTTCTTTTTTATATTTGTTTTTTTTAAACAAAATTATTGAAGGAACAACCCCAAATAAATATGTACATACATCCAGTCTGCCATACGCACGCGGCACACTGACGCCGAGTATAAAATTTAAAAAATGCTGGCTTTTTTTTTAAATCAAGTTTATTTATTTATTTTTAAAAACAAGTGGTGTTTGTACTGTATGTACATACAAATAGCTTTTTGTTTTCAAATAAAATAATACAATATGTATGTCGATGGTTTTAAAAATAAATGTAATATGTAGATAAATACAGTCGATGTATATATATTTGTTTTTTATGAAAAACAATAATATAAATATCGTGCACACTCCACACAGGCACACACTGCTGGAGTGCTGGCACAGACGCAAACGGAATAAATAACGCGCGAATCACGATGCTCTTCGCCTCAAAAAAAATGCCTTTTGTTTTGTTTTGTTTTGTTTTGTTTTGTTTTGTTTTGTTTTTTTTGTAAATCAAAAAATAAAGATCAAATACATACACACGTTGTTTTTAAAAATCATGTTATTTTGAAATTCGGAAGTGAGAAAATTGGAAACTGAGAATTAGAAGTGGTATAAATATTTGAAACAACAGTAAATTAGGTATTTACAGAGACAAAACTGTAAATACTATAAAAATAAACCTTTTCTACCGTTCCATTTCTGGTGCTTCCCAGAAACTTTTTTTAAACAGGACTTTTGGAACAATCAGTAATTCTTTTGGAGAAGTTTGGACCGTTTTTATAAAATAGCCAACACATGAACATTTGGATATATATTTATTTAAAATGTACGTTTTCTATTATTTCTAAAACAAAAGCTAGAACAGAAGTATAGAAAAATGAATCCCTTCCAAAAATTGTGCCCAGTCTAGTCAGTCATTGACCTATTTGTATTTACCATTTTCTGTGAAACCTGATAAAATCATAGTCGAGCAGTGGAAGTATAGAGCCTTCTTAGGAAGCAATAAAAATGCTTGAAATATAAGTTATGGTGTATATAGTACTCCTAGAGCAGTTAAAGAGACATCTATAGTTCTATAATGTTTGTAGCTGGTCAACTGGTTACTGGTTGCCAATATAGAATAGAGTAATTATGTATGACTCTTAACTCTTCAGGCATATGTACATTTGTACAGTGTACTATAAAAAAAATTATATATATATATATATATATACATGTGTACATATGTACACTATGCATACATACATGTTTTGTTTTGTTTTTTATAGAAAATAGATGAGTCCTGAACTCCTGACGACTTATAAAATAACAATCCGACTCCTTTTTAAAAACAAAAATCTTGTGAGTCCTACATATCTTGACAACAAGAGAGAGGGCCTAACGGCTAAACGGCTAACAGTGAGCTTGTATCATAGGCTTCAGCTTTCAGGCAGAGCCCCTAAGCCTTCAGAAGTTCAGGCTTCAGTAGTTTCAGTACATAGTTCGGCGTTCGCTATGTAGTTCGGCACCTCCTTCAGGGCCCAGGCTTTTAGTCCATATATTTAATTATGTACAACTCACAGAGTCACATGACACTAGTCTCGGAAGGAGTAAAGAGCGACGACTACAGTGTGAGTGAACACTGAACAGTGGTCACTGCCTCACTCTGGGGGCTATGTACTCTGGTTTGTGAGACAGTGACACACTCTTCATGATGGACTCCCTCTCTCTGTCTCAGTGTCTCTCAGTCTCCCACAAGTCAGCAGTCTCACACACACTCTCACTCTCTCCCTCTCAGTCTCTCTACATATCTATCTCTACTCTCTCTATAGAGTAGAGTCTAGAGACTTAGTCTCTAGTGGAGAGTAGTAGAGTACAGAGTAGTATTAAGAGTCCACTGAGAAGAGGTACAAATGACAAGTCACAACAAGAGTAGAGAGTGAGAACTGAGAAAACTCAAGAAGAGTTTCACTGAGATTCAGATCAATGATTATATAGAGAAAATAGATGAGACTTGAGAGTTGAGACTTAAAGAGTTGCGACTTAAAAAAGACTGAGAGGAGCTAAGAAGGTTTTTCTTTTTAGTCACCTCTTAGAGGACCTGGGGAGGTTGGGACTTGGGACATCTAGGCTCTAGTCCTCTACTAGTCCTCTACTCTCTCTATTAGCAAAAGAGTGAGGCTGTTGAGGCATTGTGAGGGCCGTGAGGCTACTAGACCGCTGGAGCCTCTTGGCGGTGAGTTCAAGAGTTGGAAGTTGGAGCCGCTCTCTCAGAGTCTCAGGCTAAGCCTAACCTCAAACCGTATTCCGTTAAAACCTTATATTTCTAATAGATATACGTTTACGCTCAACTTTTATTCCATATACGGTCCTTTGTATGCTCACAGGTGCACCTTGAGCGTCTAAACATTTAAGTGAGTACCATTTTGACTATATGACCCAGTCCTACAAATTCTGATCATATTATAACCGTTATAACGTTGAAAAATTGAATAAGTATGTATTTACGTTCAACTTCTATTTTGTACCCAAGTAATGCAATGAGCTCAGGGCTAAGCTCATAACATTATGTGGGTACGGGATAGAAGTGTAACGTAAACGCATATATATTCACTTTTAAATGTTATATCGGTTATAATGTGATCAGAAGGGCCTACCTAAGTTCTTATATAGGACTAGTTCGTATCGTAAACATTATACGCACTTAAATGTAGACCCACAAGCTGCACCTATGGGTTCAAAGGACCGCATTAGGAATAAAAGCTGAACGTAAACGTATTTTTATTCGATTTGTAAAAGTTTTAACGGGAACCGGTTTGAGGTTAGGACTCTATGTACATATTTACTCTCTCTCTCTCTCTAGTAGAGAGTGGTCCCTAAGCTCAATACGTTTTGCCTATATGCGATAAACTTTAAGCGCAAACGCAAAAAGTTTGGTTTTTTAAGCGGTTTAAAGTATATCGGGGGCAAATCGACCATGAAAATTTTCCAAATTTGCACCTGAGAAATTGACCTTTTTTAATGAAAAAGCGATTTGAAACTATTCATAACTGACACAAAGTGAAAAATAGGACTATTCGTGACAGTTAGGCCGCCTCAAAAACTATTGACTATATTTAGGATAAACTTTGAACGTAAACGCTTTTTTGCGTATTAACGGGGAACGTAATGAAGTTAGGAGAGGGCCTAGTAGTAGACTAGAGTAGGGGCTATTTACATACTCTCTACTACTACTAGGAGAGGATAGTAAATATTTTAGAAGAATGGTCGTCGAGACGTCGACTCGTGATTCGAGTACAGTTGACACAACAAGCAGTTTCAAGAAACGTTAAGTCGTCAACGCGCACTAGTAGACAGTACTCTCACTCTCACTGTCTCACAGTCTCACAGTCGCTGCTCGTGTACCCCACCCAGAGACTCAGAGTCCCACTGTCCCAGTCCGTTGTATGGTACGTACTGATTGTACTCATTTTATAAAAATTACTGAGATACAATAGTGATTCGAGCGTATTGTGAGTATTTGTAACTTGTGACTTGTGAGTCGTGTGACTCGCAAGTCGAGACTTATGCCTCATTGACTCGTGTCAAGGGACTCAAATCGTGCCTTCAGGCCGTCAGCCTGCTCATATAACGAATCTCAGAATCTGCGAATATTATCCTTAGATTCCTAAAATATGTAGTACTTACTCATTTTTTTTTTAAAGTGACAAAACAAAACACAATATGTATTCACTATGTGTACCTCTGAACCTCCGAGACTATTCCCTGCTTGCTGTAAAACTACCTTCTCTTGTTGTGAACTTGTGTGTAACACTAACACTGTAACTGACTGACTGTTCAGTGTGGGAATAATAAATATAGT